GGGGGGGGTTGGGGCAGGAGCCTTATTTGAATTGAGCACTGGTTGCATAGTCATCTTCCCCTTTATATTCCATGACTGTAATTGTTTATTTCAGTAGAAGAGTCAAGATGAATTTAAGGTATGCTGAAGAATCACAGGACTTCTCCTCTCATTCCGAAGAAGAGAATGGTAACGAAAGTTCATCTGATTCTGAATCAGGCCTGGCATCTGGATGCACATCATCATCATCATCATCATCATCATCATCAAAATTTTCCACTGACAGGGAGAGTGATTCACCTGTACCAACAAGCGAACTATCCGATAGCTCACACGAAATCTACAACAGTTCAGATGAGTCATCATCAAGTAATAGTGTTATCTTAACATGGCGCAAAAGGTAGATCTGTCTAATAATCCTTTAACTTCCAAGACTGACAAAGCCAAAGTTTTCCTTACAATAATAATACAATGCAAGCAGACATTAAATGATGTGACAAAAGAAAAATATCAATTAGGGGATTATTAGTTGATCCAATACCAAATCTTCCGAACTAACATGATAAGCATTGTATGGCAGACAGTAAGAAGAACAATGAAATGAATGTGATCTTGAGAGCAAAAGAATCAAGTCCCTGTTTAGTTTTTTTTTTTATTATTTCTGTACAACAGAGTTCCTTTGATTCAACTGCTCTCAGGTCAGAAAGACTGGAACTTTTGTAGAGAGAAATTTTGATAAGATTAGTGTCTAGCCAGTCGCTCTACCTTTCTCTTTTCTGCATACTTCCAAATTGTATCATCCAGCGTCTTGGGGATGAGGATCAACTAATTTATCGACCAGATGGTGTTATCTTCATTTGATATAGAACCAAATTCTCTTTAATTAATTGATTTACATGGAAAAGCATAGTTACCAACATGGAGAATTCCAATGAGATCTCGAGAGTTACAACACAATTAAAGGCTCTTGCTTCTGATACCAAGGAGCAACATTTATTCTTGTCTTGTAGGAAAAGTCCAAGGAGAGCAGCTCAGGAAAGGTCAAGAAAAAAGATTGCTCAACTCTGTAATAGATCATCTGATTCGGAGGAAATGTCGTCATCATCATCATCATCATCATCGTCATCATCATCGTCGTCATCATCAAGTGAAGCGTCACAATCAGAGTAATGGCTGCAGAAAGAAATTAGACAGTGAAATTACTGTATTTGGAGAAGTTTCTTTAATCTAAGTATTTAATTAGTATCTTTCCCTATCAGTTTTGTCATCAAAGAGTTGGTGTTAGCCATCAGTGTGAGGGTCAGAGATCCATTTTTAAAGCTGTACTTTCAGTGGAAGCACAGCATTCCTGAAGGCTCTTGCCTCAGAAATCCCTGGTGCCCAGCTAGGTGGTTTCATTTAAGACAAAGTTTAAGCAAGGTTTTTCATGAACTTTTGAATTAGAAGGGCACTGCCTTGTGAGTAGGCAGGTATCCTAATAAAATTGAGGGCCAAAGGCCTGAAACTCGAGGGGGGTCCGCGAGCATGCTCCCCTGGGAAATTTTTAAAACTTAAGTCTCCTATGCCAGGAGCATATTTTCTTACAATCTGGAAAATCTGCAATGGCACATCTTAATCTAGTTTTAGTTAAAAAATAATTTGATTATTTTAGTACACAGCTATAGCTGTATCAAAAAAATTGTTGTTTTTTAGAGCCTACTTCCTTCTTATAGTTACAATTTGGCTCAAACCAGTTAGGAACTTATCAAGAGAGAAACTGACAATATTTTTTAAGTTTATGAAAATTAAAAGTCAGAGCCGTAATCAGAATCTTCAACACCCAAATCTGTTAGCTCCAAGGCTTTGGAGGCTTCCTCCTCTTCTTCCTCAGTAGAAAATTACTTTCAGTCCGGGTTACCAGGAGTTTCGAAATATTTAAGGTTCAAGACAGCAGGATTCCAACTAATAAAATTATCAGCGCTTATATACAGACCGAAGCAGATTTTCACGTTTCAGATTTTTGATATGTCAACGCTTTTGAATGCTTTCTCGGAACAAAGTCTCTTTCAAGTTTTTCACACCTTTTGGGAATATTTGAGTTTTGAAACCAAGAAAGTGTTGGCTTTATACTGAGACGCACTTGCTGATAAGTATCTTTTCCGGCGACATTCTACTCTTGTTTATTTCACATTTTGAATTGTACTTCAGACGAAGTGTTTCATGAACAGTTTAAGAAACGGAAAGCATAGGAAGCGTTGTAACTATGTAATTTTTCAAAAAAGAGAACCATTCCTCCGAATCCAATTAAAACCAAAGACATAAATTAATTTCTCTGTCATTGCACTTGTCCTTTCTTATGCAAACGAGTGCTTGCGTGTTTCGCCTAGAGGGATGTGTAAACATTACAAGATTGATGAAATGCTCAAAACTAACCTTTTGACTTCTTGTATGTAAATGACAAAAAAGAATCCAGGACGCTTTGAGTTTTTCTTTTGCTTGCCATAATAACTCCGCAGAATGTATTTGCTTTAAGAGGGCGGCATTGGGGTCTATTAGAAACCGCGAAAAAATTCGATCAAAACCGAAAACCGCATGCAAAACCGTCTAAACCGATAAATTTGCACACCTCAGTTGTCAAAATCCTACTCAATCTGGTACTGTAGTTAGAAGTGCAGCAATATAGGTCGGCTATTGGACATTAGCAGAGGCGTATAACTGCTGCTCAGATCGAAGAGAAACCGGAACCCCAATATGAAAAACCGAAAAAGGACATAGGATAACAAATCTGAGTACCCGTCAAAATTTTTAACGAAAACCGAAAACTAAATGCTGAAAACGGAAAATCCGCAAAACGCAGTAAACAACAAAACCGAAAAACCGACGTTTTTTGACACAAAAACCGAAAAACCGATCTAATAAAATAGCCAGAACCGCAAACCACAATACCCCCTCCTTTAAGCGTGTGGCGCGTTACGAATCTGGCTCTAAAGAACTCAATTGACGCGCAGCGCCTTTCTTGGTAAAGTACATTTTATTTTCACGATCTGGTGGCAAGTAATCGATAAAAAAGTGCAGAAAAAGGTTTTAAACTTACAGGAAGAGTAAATATTTAGTTGAGGTTGATAATTTTTTTCTTGACGACTTTTTTTTTTTTTTGATTTCGTACTTGAAGTAGCGGCTAAACTTCAGGGCCGGGTTGTTCAAAGCTGTGTTAAGACAACCCAGGGTTAGAGTGAAATTTGATTTCAGATCTGAAAGCTCTGAAAGAAAATTCAGCTTAATTCCATTTGTCTACAATTTGATGATTGAATGTCCTAAAAAGAACTAGGAAAATTATCCCAAAATTGCTTTTGATTAGAGAAATTTAGAAACCTGGATTAAAATTTAACCCTGGGTTGGAGCTAATCGGCCTTTGAACAACTGGCCCCAGAATACCCGGCCACATCATTTCCATGTCACTGAATAAGAATAGCGTCTATTGTGTTATGCCTCATTCTTCAAAGCCTCCCGACATATGTAAATGATGTGGACGGGTATTCTGAAGTTACTCCGAAGTGGCCGGGTACTCTGTTTTATGTAGACGGGTGCCGGTACCTGGGGCCCGGCTTCTAATAAAAACCCTGGTTTAAGTCACCTGTGGTACCATGACTGTTCAAGAACAGAGCCCTGTATTGAGACATGTTTGAGAACTAAAAGCCTGCGCATAGATTTATGCGAGGAGTAGAAAACAGGGTCGGAAGTTATGACGAGAATTAATTATGCATGTTTCCATGGTGCTAGGCTATCCATGTAATGATGCAGAGTATTTTTGTACTTCCTCCCCACACTTTTTATATTCCTTTAATAATCTATTAACCTTATTTATTTTACATCAGATGTCTAATATTCTGCTTGCCAAAGACAGAGACTTAGTAATTGAATAAATGGATCATATTTTAGTTTTTATTTAAATATTAGAAAGTATACACATTATTTTGGTAAACAAGTGCAGTCTGTAAATATATTATGGAGACTTACATTCATATGACAAATGGTTTCTTGAATTTTAATCAAACACTTAAACAGTGAAACTTTAACCCTCTAACTCCCAAGATGCGATTGATAATTCTTCTGTCAAGCTCCTACACATTTCCTTGTAAGTTAGTTACAAGAATTTGGTATTAGAACCAGATAACATCTTTTTCCTGATGAGTATGAGTATTCTCATAACCTGTTTGCTGGATAATTAACAATTATTCCACGAGTGCGCGTTGGATATGAGATGATAGATAGCCAACGAGGGGCGCAGCGCCGAGTTGGCTATAATCATCTCATATCCAACAAGCGCGAGTGGAATAATTGTTTTATCAAGAATGCCCCCAAGATATTAGACAAGTCTTACCAAATCTTAAATTTTTTAGCCCCCTTTTAATTTTTACCCGACGCGCACCATATTTATAGATTATGGTATACTGGCTCATATACCATAATGGCTAAGCCAATAAAAAGTCTTGAATTGCATTATCCAATGATCCAGTTTTTTATAAGAAGATATAAGTAAAATCGGCGTCGCGTACCAGTTCTTAAAATGGATTTCGTCTCATGAGCGCGTGACTCAGACAAACATTGCGATCCGCCATAAGCGANCTGTTTGATACTGATAGTTCCTTGCCATTAATCACAATTGGTGGAAAATTGTGAGTGTTCCTTTTAAAGTCAATGCGCATCTCCTTGCATTTATCCGCGTTCAGTTCCATCCTATTTTCGATCGACCACGCCTCAACAGCGGAAACTGCGCTTTGTACATCACTGGTCAAACCTCGCGGTATCGTTTGGGCGATAGTCGTGTCGTCTACATACTTCCAAGTGAGCGCGTCGACCTCAAGATCGTTGATCATTAATAAGAACAACCAGGGACCAAGCTTGGTCCCCTGTGGTACCCCGGCGGGGACTGAGCCCCACTCTGACCTGCAGTCTGATGACAACCTGACACGTTGTTTCCTGTCTGACAGAAAATCCAGCACCCAGACGCGAACCCACCGTGGCTCATATACCATAATGGCTAAGCCAATAAAAAGTCTTGAATTGCATTATCCATTGATCCAGTTTTTAATAATGTGTGATAGTACACGGAGAAGTTAATCCCATCTGAGAATTAAAGGGTAAAGCATTTATTTGCCCCAATGAGAGGGGAGGCTGTAATTTACAACCCCCTTAAGAAATGGAAGCTGGAAGGGATTCAATAAGCGACAGAATTGTCTACATATCGTCATGTTGATTGATAATTTTTTTGTATCGATCACTTGCCACTTAAAACTGTTTTTCTTTTCCATCTCTTTTATGAAATTGAGATTGGGGAAGGTGGTGTTCTATGGGGATACATGATTTACATTACCAATAACAATAGGTGATGCTGACTTCCAGTAAGTTAGTTTCTGGTAATTTATCCTTCTGTTGCTTTTCAAACATAAGACTCGAGGCTTTGCTGTTTACGCAACACATGAAATTAGAGCGTTTTCAAGATACAGAGGTGCATCTTAGTCTTGTAAAACAGCTATGGTGACCACATTTCATGATGTAGAAATAGTGCCTGGCAAGAATTGTCAACATGTGGCCATCATCTTGGTGCTGACCTGCCAGACTGCCCCTGTCGACCCTGACTTGAGTTTTGAGTCTTTCCCACAGGTGGTTTCTTTGCCTGGGAGAGTTTATTCCTTCCTTTGTCTGTTTTACCTTTAAAGAGTCTGCTTATGTCTAATGAGTTCAAAGGAAGATTCACAGCAGACTGATTTCTTTCTGTTGAATCTGGCTTCTGTTGGGCCTTTGGCTCTGCATTTGCAATGTCAATGGCTAATCTTGTTGGTGCATAAAGGTTGAACCATTGCTGCAAATGGGAAGAACTTCTTTTTAGTTTCTAATAAGTTTCTGCAGAATGCTAACCCTAAATAGAAAGAGGAACCTAGCTGCAAAAACCATGAACACCAAAAGTGACAGTCTGCCCTGAAAACTTCATGGTAAGTTACTTCTCCTTGGGCTAATGCTGATCTATTGGAAGCAGCCTCTGTGTATTTCAACAAATGTTTTCCAGACAGTTTCTAGCCCACATTAACTACAAACTTCAGAGTGAAGAGAAAGCTAGCACTTCAGGAGTCAAGATTGAGTGTCTCCACTAAATGACTACCACAACACTTCGCTTTTGCTGACCTTTGTTTCTGGACTAAGCCCTGTTGCAGTAAAAAGATATTGCCAGAGTGGAAGACCAAGGTGCACAATCATCATTCTGAAGTAATCAGTGAATGACGAAGCAAGGTAACACCATTCCAGTGAACGATCAAGAAACCAGATCTCAGGCTGTCCCATTGTTACTCCTGAAACAAGATGACACTGCAATGAGCATTAGCAATGTTTTTCTTTTCTTTCCTTTATTTATTTTTATTGGTAATTCCTAACATTTTACACCCTAACAACAGCATACACTTTCTCTACACTTGTCTCTATAAATATCTTTTGGTCCTTACAAGGAGAATTCCCTTAACATTTTTCAAAGCCTCTTAAGTTGGTGATCATTTCCTATTTTCTCCTGATCTTAACGACTGATCCAGCGGTATTAACTGTAAGGAGAAGTTAAATGCTGGTCACTCTTAGAGTCTAAGGAGTTAAAGGTGACTTTTGATTAGCATTAGGCTCTTATTCTAGTATGGGACCATAGTTCCAGAATCATGAAGTTTTTTTCCAAAGGTTTTCACATGCTTTGTCCCCAAGAAATACCATTGCCAAAAATCTGCTGCCTGCTGTCTTCATTGTTCAAGGAAACATAGCTTAAAACAATTATTTTCTATTTCAACAAAACCGTATTGTAAAGAGAGCCTCTTGATAACTTGAAGGTTTTAGCATACTAGTTTTGTTCATTACTCTCAAAGAACAAAGAGCAAACCAAACAAATCTTAAGAACTGTATCCCTGCTGTAAAGAGAACTTGCAAAAAAAAAAAAAATACAAAGGATATTACTGTGTACAGCCCTTGATTAATGTGAAAGAATTGTTTATATATACATTGATTGTCTAACAGCAAGGAAAATTCTATGATTTACTTGGAACTCACAGTCCAGCTTCACCCACCAGCTTTGATGTCTTTGTAAACCAAACAGACTTTACCATAGCCATCACACGGATCCAGCTCAAAAACCTTGCAGCGATTGTCAAAGTGCGGCTTTATATGACCTAGTGAGGAATTTAAAATAATGGAAAATCATCATCAGTTGATCACTATACCTTTCCTAATTTTAGCTGTGACAGTCAGTCACATGACTCATTAGAACTGATCACAGAAGAGGAAAATCATTTTATGGAGTAAAATCATGACATTCAAGGTCATTGGCAGATTCAGGGGGAAGGGTCAGTGGGGTTCAGACCCCCTCCATCAGACTTACAAGATTTTTAACTTCTTGTTTGAAAGAACAACTTATCCAATATATTTAAAATTCACTTAACCTGAAACATTCCTTTGCTTATGTCTGGGTAAAGAGCAAAGAAAAAAATCAGTGAATTTTTAAACAAAGGTTGAAATCCTCCCCCCCAACCCCACCCCTTGTCAAATTCCTAGATCTGTCCCCATGTTTGGTCAGTACCTTGGCCATCCTCCTCATCTGAATCAGCATCTAAATCAGCCAATGAGGGTTTGTCATCACTAACAGAGGATGCTTTGGACAGCAACACCAGACCTGCCACAGGATTCAGCTCCATCTTTCCCAGTGGTAAAACACTTCCTGATAAAATGGAAAAAAACCGATATGAAACAACAAATCGGAGAATCAAAATGTTCAATGATGATTATTAGAAGTCTTAAATTACGCGGCTACGGATCCAAAACTCTGAACAACCTATACTTTCTGCTTTCTTCAGCTTATGAAGTCACCAGCTAATGTTTACTGCTGGTTACTTGTGTAAGAAACATAGCCATTTATACTTAGCACTATTTCTTCAAAAATGCATTGTCAATTATTACCATCAAACTTGATGCTCCATTGAATCAACAGTCCATTTGTTGTGAGGAAAAAACTGTTCAAGTCCTCTGGCAGGATACACATATTTTTCTATCAAATATACAGAGTAGGGAATGGCATGTAAGAGGATTTATTTTTGCTATGCTCATAAGTAGAACATACCGCTGAATTAGCAATTAAGAAAAAAATTGGGTTCTGTCCTGGTGTACCGGTTCACAAGGGAATTACCATTGTTCTTTCTTTGTTTAGGAGTCATTGGTTAGCTGTTGTGTATTGTTCGGTCTTTTGTATCGGCTCTTGTGAACCGGTACACGAGGACAGAACCAAAAATTGTCATCATTACCTGCTCCCAAGTGTATATATTGTGTTTTTCCGCTGGTTTTCTATCAAGTAGACGGACATCTGTTACACCAGGCTTCTTTTCTGAAAAAGAAAAAAAGAGGTAAACAAAAATCGGCTTATTTTACCGGCTCGTATTTGCAGGTGAGCTTATTTCAGTCTGCTTTAGTTTTCACCTTATTTATTTTATCAGCTAGGTTTCATTAAGCTTGATTTAAAGGTCGACATGGATATTAATCCGTTTGTATTAAAGTAATTGCAAATAGGTATGTGAAAAGATGACTTACCAAGCGATCGAACTACTCCCAAAGTCATAGAATCAAACAGTTCTCTCACTCGATTATGTTCGCTCAAGGACGCCATTTTGAATCCCGGAGCAACAACATTGGCCAGTTTTTCTCCCCAACAGGGAGGAGAGGGTTGTATAAGAATGATCATGTTTGTTTTTTACCTGTTTTATTTTCATTTATCGCATTTATCAAATATAAATAAGTCACTTTATTATAATCTTACGTAAACAGAATATATAAATTTGGAGTCGTACCAGCAAGTGAAAAATTAAAAAAGAAACGAAGAACAGCAAATAAATTGAAAGACCTTACCTACCCACCCACGTACACCTCAAGGAGCAAAATATGCAGGGAAACTGGGAAAGAGGGGGGACCGGTTTTGTTCAAAATGGCGGCAAATTTGGAAGACACCACAAACCAGTTAAGCGAAACTGCAAATCCTGTACCGCCCAGAAGTTTCACTGTAGTAAACGAAGACCAACAATTCAGTGAAGTTGAAGAGCACGAAGATGAGGAGAGAAACCCTCTTTTGGAACTGAAAAAATGCAAAGAATGGCTACAACAACAGAAGATAAACCATGAGGCCGAATTACTTGTCCGTGAGTTTATAATTTCAACGTCGTTTGGTGTTTAATGAGCTTGTACAGTTTATGAAATGCTACAAATTCGGACAGCTGTCCCTGAAGTGCGTTATTAGTGTTCCTAAGTATGTTTTTTTTTTCTTTTTCGTCAGTTTTCCAAATGAAAAGTAGCCGAAAAGGAAATATGAACTTGTACATTTCACTGAGACCAGTCAATTTCCTCGTTAGTAAAATTAAAATGAAAATGAAATTAGCTGTTTGGGAACAGTAGAGGGCAACAGTATCCCCTTAATAGAGTCAGATTTTGGGTAAGTGTCAGGGCTTGTCTTCTGCTCAGGACGGCTCCAGCAGTGCGAGGACCAGCAGCCTTCAACAAGTGCATCATCACAGTCTGATCTTTACGAAAGGTGCGTACAAATGCATTCACGATTAATAATATAATTTGGAAGCAGTGTAGAGGTTTTTTTTTTTTTATCTAAAAGCCAAGCTTACCTAAGCTCAGGATATGATATTTAAGTGTATTTGTAGAGCATTATATTTCATTGTTTAAAGCATTTGTGGCCTTAAATCTTGATAGGAGTAACATGTTTTCAAATTGTTTGTTTTTCTTTTGTCGGATGATATATAAGTACTTGGGATTTGGATTTGGATTGATATATCAGATGACTGAGTTGATATAATACTTATCTGACCCAAGTTCAAGGTCTGTGCACTAAGTTATGGATCAAGATTTTTGTGCTTGGATTTATGGCCAAACGTTTGAATTTAGCTGGCTGCACAGTGAAATTCAGCCTTCTGAATTGACCTATCAAAGTGCACATACAAACTGAGAGATGTAATTATGTTTTTTTTATGTACATCACATGGTCAGCTGTGATTGGTGTTTGTGGATACAATGTTATACAATTAAAGCTTCCTGTCTCAGTTTTTTTCTCTTTCTTTCTTCTTCACCCCCTTTTTTCCTTTTCTGTACATGACTGTGTTTTGTGAATGTAGGATATCCAAGTTGCAAGATCAGCTCTATTCCCTTTCAACAGCACGTTCATACAAGAAGCTTGTTTTAGACAGGTCAGTTACTGCAGATTATACAATTATATCTTTGTTATTTTTAGTTCATTCCTTCAAAGGGGAAGGATTAACATGAGGTTTGATAGAGAAGTGGGTTGTAAAATAATTTGCATTTATTTAACTATATATAGGAGAACCTGGCCTTATGAACACTTACATGTACTTGGATGGCTTTCACGTGGCATTTAGCGGACATTGTGTCCTATCAGTCTAATCAAAATATGGCGTTCTATTTGGACACACTACTCTCTAAATGCCACTCAAAGTGTAAAATAGGGACTGACGAACTTTTAGAGAGACCTGAAAGTGTTTTGCTTGGGAGGTGGGTTGTATTATCTGAAATGAACCAGCTGCCCATCTTGGATAGTACAGTGTAGTATTACTCCTGGTCATTTCATGCTATGGAAACTGGGACAAGATATTAATATCAGCAGGATTTGCCAATTGCTTTTTGTGTGGTTAATGGTTAAAGCCCTGGACTCCTGGTCAAGGGGCCTGGGTATGAGATCTGGCTGGGTTGATGTGTTGCTGGGCAAAACACTTTACTCTCACAGTGCCTATCTCCACCCAGGAGTAGAAATGGGTACTGGGTACTAGCCTGATGAAACACTGAAGGTGTAGCCTTGCGGTGGGCTGGCATCCCATCCAGGGGGGAGTAGTGATACTCCTTGTTGCTTCTGTAGATTGTACCCCAGAAGTCACATGCTTTTGAATTCTAGACCTCAGAAATTGATGGATGCATTTTGCATCAAATGTAAATGCTCTGGCTGCCTTATAATTGGGCAAATTAAGCTCTCCTGAATGTTTTATGTTTGGATTGTTGTTTGGTAGGCTTCTGTGTGGTGACCTTTTAATAAAAAAATTGTTCCCAGATGTTCTAACAGACTCACCATCAGAAGAGCAGACTGAGGAAATGAGGTAATTATTTATTATTATAATATATAGAAATTTTAAGGAAAAAAGGTAGAGGGATAAGTTAACTCCATAGGCTTGTGAGATAAGAAAACTGGCAGGGAACAATGGATCTACAGGAAAATGGTTTCCAAAGCCTTGAATTGTTAGGAAACAAAACCTACAAGTAAAGTTACTTTGATTTTGGTTTATTCCTCAAATTAAATCACACGCACCTTGAAACAGGTCCTATGCAAGAAAGACAAGGTTAATCCTTCACAACCAAACATCAGTATGCATATTCTCCTCACTATTCTCTAGTTATTTCCTTTGGTGCCTACTAGAAGAATCTGTCAACCAATTAAGAGCTCCTTGAATTGGTGATCAAAAATAAATCACCTAAGTATAGCTGCTTTTTTTTTTTTTCTAGCAAGCCCCTATGTTTATTTGGGGCAGCTAGTACTCCTTTTTATTATCCAACTACACCTAGACGAGTACAATTAACGCCATAGACGAGTACAACTATCTCGCGGTCTTTGCACTCGTCTATTGTAGAGTACCGGTTAAACAGGTTTTCTCGCATCGCGTAAGCAAAGAATTGGATTGTAGTTATGAAAAATAAAACAAATGGCGGACAATTTGAATCATATTTCCGACGACGAAGAGCCAGAATGGCTGGTAAATATAGATCCAAGTTCATTAGATGAATCAAACGAAGAAAAACAGCTTGACCACCAGAAAATTTCTTCATTTAATGAAGAAAATAAACAACAACACAACAATGCGCCAATTCCATTCCGCTTTGCATACTTCTATCACGCACTCCCCGTAAATAAATATCTGCGAAATTCGCCCGCACAGTTTGGCGTGTTGGATAATAAATAACTTATTAGACGTTTTGTTGTGTAGTATTGCTGAGTATTTTTACTCGTTATTTGTATTTTGACTTGCCCTACAGGCTTGTCAAAATACAGCACAACTCGTAAAAATACTCAGCAATACTACACAACAAAACGTCTAATAAGATATAAATATTCTTGTCAATTTGTCATTATTTTTATCAGTATTTTTTATGTTGGGTACAAATAAAGCTGTTGTTGTTGTTGTTGTGATCATTTCCTTTATTCTCGAGACTTTAATGCGTGATTCAGGAGTGATACTGTCGGGAGGAATTAGTTCTTATTGACCGAGCGGGAGGTCTGTATGGGAGAATCTTGACCGAGGTCACCAGTACAGACTGAACGCAGTAAGGTCAGTACCAGCAACCGAGGTCAAGATTCTCCCATACAGACCAACCTAGCTCGGTTAATAAGATGTTTATTATATGGCTGTGTCTTATATGCCACTTTTTTATACTCTTTGTACCTTTTTTCTCTAGACCGGTCTAGGTGCCAGTCTAGATGGGAAAATCTAGACCGCTTTCAATGTTAATTTCAGCCAATCAAATTCATAAATTCAGTAGTACCCAGTCCTTGTGAGACACAGCCATATAATAATAAGATGCTTATCGTCCTTAAGGATTAAGGAGTTATATGGAGGTGCTGATTAACATATACTTTGTGTATGAGGATATGACTTTTTTGTAAAACCACAAATTGCTCAAATTTGAATTTGGTAAGGTGCAAAAAAATGTTATGTAATTTTTGGACCTTATAATGAGTTTCCTTGCTAATTGTTTTGCAGCAGTCAGATAGCTTAGTGTTGTCAGTCAGTGCAAACATTGTTTGGCAGTATTGTTGAAGAAATTTGATTACAGTAGGCCATTTTTTGTGGGTACGGTTTCCATGCATTTATCAATTTGATTTGATTAATGTTGATTTTCAGAGATTTTCTTAAATTATGTGAAAAACAGAACAAGCTTAGCACTGAGGTTCTTCTGGAACACAAGGTTAGTTTTGCAAGTCTTTTGACACTTTTAATAGCCCATTTCAGAACTACCCCTGGCCTCATTTTCAAAATAAGCCCTGGTGCTCATCCTTTCATTTGATTATAATTTTTCATTCACATGCAATTCAAACTCATTTTCACAAGAATGTTCGAGCACCAGGCCTCGTTTTGAAAAAGAGGCCAAAAGTAATTCGGAAATGGCCTATTGTCTTAAAAGACTTCACCGTGCCTTTGAATAATATGCAAACTCTGAGGTTCAACCCAACTTGTGAATTTGTGTGGCGCTATTCTCAATCATTATCATGACAGCAATCTAAAAGTGGAAACAATCAAAGTAGATCAGAATCTTTCAATCTCATTTTTTGACATTTCGTTCATTATCTTTTTTCCATAGACATTATCAGAAGCTCAGACTCTTTTAGACAAGCTGAAACGGCAAAGTTATGGTAAGACATTTCTCCAGAATGCCACGACATTTAACTATTTGATGGAAAGTTTTACTTCGGTGTACTAGTTTTGAAATTGAAACATGGTCAATTTTTTCGGTGTTCTCTTCTTTCAACTGCCTAATTACCATAGCCTGTGACAAGGACCTCGTTATTAGAGTGACAGTTCGCGCCTTTTACGTTTTTTTCATTAGCAGGAAGATTTTTAGGCGAGTAGGGGAGAAGTTTGCCGGGGATCGTGCACTAATTAGGGACTTAAAGCAAACCACGACGGCTACGGCAACGAGAACGTGGTAAAACAATAGATCTAATTGGCAGGACAATAGCCCAGCACGTGCGTTTTAAAACTTTGTACATTTCTTAGGCGTCCTTTGCAGAACAACAACGTGAAATCACCAAAATTTGCGTCGTCTGCGAAGCGAAACCGCGGCGGCAAATTATTTTAATTTACATTTAGAACTCAACGCTACTTTTGTGCGTTATGTTGAGTTTGAGGTCTGGCGCCCTATGAGACGGTAAATTCATGCAGCCATTTTGGAAATTCTAACTAAAAGTAGAAACTCGTTTTTTAATCGACGTCTTCCGTGGCGTTGCCGTCCTGACTGCTTAAAGTCCCTATTATCAGTTCTAGACCCCATTAAGATCTATCGCCGGATTGCTTTGATAAAGGCCTCGTACAGAAAGTGTCTTTTTTTGCGACATTTTCAACGTTAAATGGTACATGAATATCAATTGATTTTCTTTCTCTTTTCAGAGATAAAAAAGGAAAACCGAGGTCTTCTAAAACGCGTTCAAGTGAGAAGATTAATATTGTGATTTGCATACATTTAATAGTAACAATGTTTCCATTCTTTGTTCAGTTAGAGATCACTGATGATGTCAAAATGTGGTAAGAACGAAAAAAGCTGCACGCGAGCCGAATGGGGGAGCACGTGTCTGAATATTTTTCTTGACCACCTAACAACATCGGGATATGCTACATCACAATACGCCTTTTTTTTTTTTTTTTAAGCTTTTCGAATGAATTTCGTAAAACCAAAACCAAAATAATCACAATGGGCAGTAAAAGAAAGGAAACTACCTCGAAGAGTTAATGAGAACTCGAATTAAAAAACAACCATACTGTCTAAAGCGCGGGAAAATGCGGGCAATCAAGTCGCGACTGGTTTTCAATCTGATTGGTCGAGAAAGTGGCGCGACTTTTCTGGACCAATCACAGAGCAAAGTAAAGCAAAACCAACAAAATCCTGCGCTTGCGCTTTTACTTTTAGTTCTCATTAGCTCCTCGTGATGTCTTTCTTTGATGGACCTTGGTTTTGGTTATTTGCGACATAAAATGACCAAAAAGCGCCCTTTTCTATTTACTCTCTGGAACTCCCGCTACGTTAAACTAGTCTTAACTTTTCTTTATTTCCCGTGACAGTTCTAGATTGGTACACGGTATACTGATTTAACAGTTAAAACGTTTGAACACAATAGACGCATAACTTCAACGTTATGCCTGTTATTCTGTTCAGAAACATTCCTTTTCCTTATCAGAATGAAATGAATCAATGTTATTATGAAGTGTGGACAATCAGAGAAATGGTTTTCCTGGAGAGCTGCAGTTGAAAAGATTGTAGGAATGAAGCCTGAAGAAATATAGTCTTCGCCAAGAGAGCGAGCGAGATAACGAAGGCGTGCGCAAAAGGGCTTTTCGAATTCTTACTCCCGTTCCGTGGAGCTCTCGCGCTTGCTTTGCTCGCCGAAAAAAAGAAAAAAATAAATAAATAAATAAACATACAAAAGAAAAAATATTAGCTTTAGACGGGCCTTTTCACGATATCTCTCACACTGGTTGTCGCTTCTTCCGACAGAAACTTACAGATGAAAAGGAAAATGCTTCTTGCAGCCCTTCAGATAACACAGTAATCCAAAAGTAAGTACAGGATTTCATATTTAGCACAATAGTTAAGAGCACGTTAAAAAATTCTCCTTCGAAATCAAATACAATCTACCCAATAGAACCTGTAAACTATGCGGCATCATAATTTTAAAACAAGTATATCAGTAATTGTTTAAAATTCACTCTGCTGCGAGGCTTCACCTGAAAAAAAGAAAATGTTGAAATAGAGAGAAAATCTATTTTCCAATATCGTCCCCAAAAACTGTTCAACTAGATTTCCCCATGACATTAGTATAGTATTATCGATTGCCATGCCACACTGACCATTTCAAACTCCAATCCTTTGGTCAACGCATGTGTGAGATCGTTCAACATCAGAGTGAAAAAGTTGGTTTTTGAGCGCTCCGAAGATGGCCGGTCAGAGCGTAGAAAAACTTTTTACAAGCTCAATTAAGGCCCATTATTAAATCAGACACGAAAATAAAACCAATGTTAATTTGGTTCCTTGCGTTTCCCACTCTTCAGCTAGTTGTTTGCTTTGATGTTTCCGTGATTGTTCTATGTGATACATATCTTTCCTCCGAGTGGCTTCAACTCTTTACACACTAACATCAGTATGCATATTCTCCATACTGTTCTCTATTCATTTCCTATTGTGCTGACGAGGAGAATTCAGTTGGTGATCATTTCCTCTATTCTCGTGACCTTAAGGGGTGATATTGAGGGGTGATATTGTAAGGAAATATTGGTGACAGTCATTCTCAGTGAGGCTTTTATTAAAAAGGCGTTAAGGATTACCTGAGCTCTGGTTTCAGGACACTCGCCGCTCTTTACCTTGCACCGGAAAGAGATTATCAGAGTTCGCTACAGTAATAAATAGGATGAAACTGGTCGCTCGGGAAAGAACTGATACCGGAAACGGAAGACCGGCGAAAATTAAGTTTTAACAACGGAAGTTTTAAACGTTTTAGTGAATTTATTCGTACGGTCAACGAACCGCTCTCGTTTGATGTTGTCGTTGTATTCGCTTGTTTGTTAGAATTTTTGATAACACGTATGGTTACTTTCAGAAAGTTATGATGTTTTAATGGATGAGACATTCACAATATCGTCGATAAATTGCAAAGTGGTTACCCATATACCAACGTCTGCACAGTTGCGTATAAAACATAGCTCCCTAGAAATTGAACAACTTAAAACAACATTAAGGTCATGCGAATAAACAAAATGATCGCAAACTCAAGGAGCTCTTGATTGTAATAAAAATTCTCCTTGAAAGTACTAATGGAAATGTATGTAGAACAGTAGGAGAATATGCATGCTAATGTTAGGCTGTAAAGAGTCGATACGTATCAATTATCACATTATCACTTATTGACGCACAAAAGGAAAAAAAAGAGCCCAGTTGTTGAAAGCGCAGATAACGCTATTCAACGGATAAATCGCTTTCCGGCAGATAATTATGGACAAAACATACTGCGCTGTCCACCGAATACAGATCTGTTCAATGGACAGCGTTATCCAACCTGGGAATAACCGGGGCTAGTAGGTTTTCGCGATAAGGTTTTGTGTGCCGGCGCCAAGCGAGGGAGTTCTCTAAACTTATTAACACCTGAATGAAAATGAAATTTGTGGAAATCATTGCTTCACTTGATTGATTCCTGGGAAGTCGCTGCTTATGAAATTAACGAGGATTAAATTAAATTAAGGAGGACTTTTACACTCGGAAGTGTGGATTTCTTCTAATAAGATAATTGTAGGATAGCTCAGGTTACTTCGCCTTTTCACAAGATAAACCACCGCAAGGAATCCGAACAGTGTAACTCTTTACAATCTAACATCAGTATGCATGTTCCTCGTACTGTTGTCTATACATTTTTTAAGGTGCTGACAAGGAGAAGTTGTTCCATAATAAAATTCTCCAACCTAACCTAGTGTTTTTTTTTTCTTAGGCTAAAACAGCAAATTGGACTCAAAGTAGAAAAAATTGACGTCGTCAGGAATGTATTTCAGGTTTGTGGATCTTCTCTCCAATTCACTCAGTCTTCTAATCAGCGCAGAGGAAGACGTTACTCTGTAGCCTGATGTTATGTTGAAATGAACGCTTGACGATACGAGCTAAGCGTACGGACCTTGAGAAAAGGTTAACGGTATTTTACAGTCCGCACGGCACGTGCAAAACGCAGTCCTGGACCCTGTTAACTAAAAGATGCAGTGACGGTGACGCGTTGCGCTGGGCGTTCGGAACGTAATTCTTCACCCTGATATTTCAATACGTACGCTCTGTGCGAGCTCAGCGAACGAACCATAAGGAAGTTTACCAGTTTTTACGGTAGGCTAAAGGACGTGCGAAACTAAACCTCATTCCTTGTTGCTATACTAAGATGCACGCTTCACACTAGTTCAGCATACAAACCGTAAGCGAGGATAATGGTTTTTACGTCCGCACAGCGCCTGCGAAACGAAATCCTGTACACTGTTCTTATACTGAGATGCGCGCTCCGTATGACCTCCGCGTATGGACTGTAAGCGAGGTTAACGCTCCATACGAAGCGTGCGAAACCTAACCGTGTACCCTGATGTCATGATGCGATGCACGCTCCGTATGACAAGCTTATTACGGTCCGCACTGAACGTGCGAAAAAAAAAAAAAACTTGTAACCTTATGTTCTAGTGAAATGCACGCTCCGTGTGAGCTCCGTGTACGGACTGTAAGCAAGTCAACGGCTTGTACGGTTTGTGCGGAGAGTGCCAAACGAAACCTTGTACCCTAATGTTACACTGAGATACTTTCTCAGGTCGTACAACATCTCTCCGCCCTGACTCGCTCTGTTTGAGCTCCGTTTGAGCTCCGCCGACGGCTACCTGGTTTTACAGTAAGGTACGGTACAGGGCGCCCATCAGCTAATCCTTGTGAACCATGATTTTATATCGAGAAAGCCGGTCCGTAGGAGCTAACCGTGCAAACTGGGAGCTGCACCCTCAGACAAATGTGTTGGACACCTATAGCCTCCCCTGCCTCTCTCAATGTTGGTCGGTCAGATAGTTTGTACACATTGACAATCAACGACACTGGAAGGAGGGAGGGGTGAAAAAAACATCATACACGTTGTTTTGGAGGAGTTTTGCCAACTAATTACGTCAAGGAGTGTAGGTTACCTGTTTGAGCGGAGCCTAGTCTGGGGTAATTGTGGCAAAAAATTATCTAACAAGCTACAAAAACTGCAAAATCGTGCTGCGTGAGTAATAACTTCATCAAACTATGAGTTAGATGTCGATTCTTTGTTTCACAAACTCAGCTGGAAAGACTTCAAATCCCAACGTCAAGTTCAGAACGCCTTAATGGTTTTCAAGTCTTAAAACTGACTGGTTCCCGAATATCTCGCGTCTAAATTTATAATGCGAAATGAATCAAACTATTCACTGAGGGACTCGGTAAACAAAACTTGTTATCCCCTTCCAAGAACTAACTACATGAAAAATAGTTTTAGTTACAGTGGTGCAACCCCTTGGAACAGCTTGTCCCGTAACATTAGAGAGTCTGGTGCATTAAATCAATTTAAACGCCTTTCACGCGGCATTCATCGAAATCAGCTTTTTTTTTTTTTTTTTTTAAGTGGCATATTGTAAGTTAATATAACGTTAGGATTAGGATATTTAGGGTTTTAGATGTTAGTCATTGTAATAGAATTAAATGTACCTGATGAATTATTTTACCAGGTATAATAAAACTAAAAATATATATATGTTGGCCAGTAATGTTGCGACAGTGTTAGACTTGAATGGTATTATTTATAGAGGGCTTGTTTAAAAGTCAGTAATTATGTTGTAGCTTTGCAAAGTACTCTGCGCATTATAAATTTATCTCAAACCCTAACCGTAATCACTGTCTCTTGTTGATTCTAAGATGAAGTGTTTTTTCTCCGCAGTTTTTGCACCCATAGTAGCCTGTAAATTTACAGTATATTAGAGGTGTCCTAAGTGACAACATTTTTGTTTCAGGGTCTTGTAGTAGGAAGTGGTATTGACTGGGTGATGGACGAAGAGATGCGACATCTTGTTCTTAGTCTTGGAGAGCCACTGGAGTTTGCGACATGACTTGTCCTCGTCCGACAACAAAACTGAGCTTCACGTCGCTCCCGCGAGTAGGAAGCATTTACTGAATTAGCGGAGTACCCAAATGAATTCACAAAACATGCTTGTCATCTACGGACATTTTTTTTTTTTAGTCAGGAGTTGCGTCTTGGCCCTCCTGTTTTAGTTACGCTTCAACATCAGTATGCAACTCCTCCATACTGTTCTTTATACATTACCTATCGTGCCGACAAGGATAATTTGCTCAACAATCGAGAGCTTCTTTGGTTGTTGATCGTTTCCTTAATTCTCCTGATCTTTAGTGTTTGATTCTGGGATGATACTGTGGGAAGAAATTAAATGCTCATCGCGAAGCAACCGTGACGTTCATTAGGCAGCTGGTATTAAGTACGCCTGTTTTTATACTCTTCTCTTGTTCCTTCAGTAGATCGTCCCATCGTGGCCTCTGTGATTAGCTAAGATGCGAATATACGGCACAAAGTAAATACTTAGTTATATTTTACTGCTCTTCAGGGACTGTGATCTACGTTCTTCGAGTCAAACGGCCACTGGTGATATTGTAGACTATTTTTCGACGAAAACACGAGTTCAACTCGCTGAATGTTGTGTCATCATGTACAACAAAGACATGTTTGCTGGTTTTTAGCCATCAAATAAGGTACAAACCAAATGCGCCTCCTTCAAACAAGAACCTCTCCCATGAGCCAAAACTTAGAAAAAGTGCCTCGGCTTGACTACTTGCCCCTCCCCTCCNTCTCCCTTCCCTCCCTTCCAATATCCTCTTTTTCGCTTGTTGTTATGAACAAATGAGCTCAATGCATTCTTATGTAGAAGTCTTGCGTTAGAGGGTTTTTGGATCTGTCGATGTACCGGCAGATCGTACCGTATCGATAGGAACACAGCGCTTCAATGGCCGTGTGAATCTTCAAAACAAAACCTGCTCAACAGCCCTATTCATGCCACAAGCCCGTAACTTTGAACATGTGTACAACCAAAAAGGAAGGCTCGTAACTTTTGAATTAACGTGTGTACAGCCAAAACAGACGAGCTATTGAGGACTCATCTTGGAGATTTTCTTCCGGCTGTCACGCCCTTCTATTATCTCGGGGAAAAAAAAAACAACTGAGCTGAACTGAACACCTTTTCCCCTAATTGGTAGTCAAGAGCAGATGGCTTTTGACTTTTCTCGCTCGATTGGTTTTTAAAAACATGATGATCAGGTTTCAAGAGGGTTTAATATTTGTTGGTTTGTTTTCTACATCATATTAGAATCAATAACTGTTAATCACTACATGATGATGATAACAAGAGTTTGGAATTCGTTGCGTTTCACAGCATTACACTGATTAACGTAAACAAAGTTACTAGTCTTGCCTGGTGGATCGTAATCAAACTTGAGCCACGAGGTTTAGGGCGTGGCTAGTCTGTCTTATCTGCCCACCTATGTAAAATGTGATGGAGAACATCCGATAAGAATTGCCAAGCTTAATTAAATCAAACCTTTTGCTATTTAGTGTTATCTCAAGATAGGAAGAACGCAGGAGATAACCAAATATAAGATAAGCTCAGAAGATATCGACAAGCCTTACCTCAACTGCAGCTCCAGAGCTGTCTGGGAGTTTTGATAACATTTTCCTTGGGCGTTTTCTGAAGGTGAAATAGGCTACTGTGCCGTAAGGCGAATTCCAAACATGAGAGCCTGCCTGCGGGCTAAACAGGTGGCGGTGAAAGGTCTTACAAACAGCAGTCTACGTCCATCATTGAGACCCCTCGTTGTGTCTCTTGCAGTGAAATAACTCAGAAATATGAATATCCCATTTTTTTTGTCAGCCACATGTCTTTCCCAAGCGTTTTTTTTTTTTTTTCTCTTTCGTGGCAAAGATCGGTGATATTTGTTATCTCAAGGTGGTAGAGTTATAAAAACCAGTAGTTATCTTTATTGCATTTTGATCGCGAATATATGGCCTTTTGAGTGTAACACAAACAGCAATTTATCACTATTAGATTGTCATCGTGTTCGGTATCAATGTCTGTTGAATGGATGTGAAGACACATTCAGTCGTTGTTACGGCGGTGTTCTGCCGCTATAAATACTACGAAATGCCAAGAATTCAGTGACTTTCAAGTTAGTGCCAAAATCAGCGACCTGCTAGCATTTTAAAAGCCCAGGCGCTGAGATGAAGGCTTAAAAAACTTCCGTGCGTGATCGAAGCTAAGAACGGGAAAGCTACCATCTGCAAGCCATATGAAATAGTTGATCATTTTATCGCAATACTGATCTTGAGTCTGTTCAATGTGTTGGCGAGATTCTGCCCCAAGATAACCAAGTTGTAGGTGCTTTCTATGGCCTTTCTTGGCTAAACTGGTTTTTTTGTTTTTCTTTTTTTGTTTTTTGTTTTGTTTTTTAAGTTTCCTTTGTCAAAAGATTCCATTTTTAATGTAGAGGCCAAAATGATCACAACTACTTCCTCCGTCTACCATATTCTTCGGTTGACAAATAACTGTTTGCGCGCAGTGATTAGTTTTTAAAAATGTGAAATTTCAATTTGATTGCTTGGTCTTTCTCTGTTGTTCGAAAGAGTGTTGACACCGACTCTGTTGACACATGAACTTTTACGAACATACCTCTAAAATTGTCATGGTCTAGTCTCTGTAACTAAAAATGAAACGGTCGTCTTGGAGAGCGTGTAGACCAATCTTCATCTCGCTATTGCTGTATCTGTAACGAATTCGACGAGTTTACAAATTAACTTGGTCCGCAAAACTTAGGGATGAAAATTTAAAATCTGTCTAGCCCTTTTTCCTAATTAGAAAGGTTTGTTGGGGCCAACATTTTGTTGCTTTTTATCCTATTTTCAGGCGAAAGTACAGTGAAACTGGCTGCAACACTTCACTTCAACTCTGAAATAAAATTTACGCTATGCTTTTCTCAATGCTTCCGTGAAAAGTTTATTAAACATGCTTTGAGCTTTATATCCCTTGAACTCAACTCTGAGCCACGGCCAGAGCACCAGGTAAACGTTCAAAGGAAATTACTCTCCGCTTTAAGCCTGGTAACCCCTCGATTGCCCGTGTGATGTCAATCGCTCCGGTTTTGCCCCTCCTGCACTAATTCATCTTCGTTCGAAAACGCACACTTTTTTAATGCGCTTTGCCAATCATCTGGACGCTTAAACGCTCGTAAATAGCTATGAAACCGTTTTTAAAACCTATCGTTTCTTTTGTTAGATGAAAACAGGCTTGCGAAAAGGGTGACGAAGTAAGCGTCGCTTCCACCAGCGTTTAGAGCTTTTTAATGTGTAGGCGGATAGCTGAAGGCGCATTTGACTTGAGGGTTCACGCTTTCGAACAAAACGCAGTAGTGAGGACGTTTGAGAGCAAAGCGAAAACTAACGTAAACGTGGTAGAAAATATTTTGCTTCTTTTTACTTGAGACGGAAACGAACGCTAGAAAACACATTAGTGTGGTCTGGACATTAGAGACAGTTATATTTATCCGAGTGATTATATAAACGGAAATCATTCGGTCAAGTTCTCTTTAGCCACTACTTCAGTAGAACGATAAGCGGAGAAGGTCAGAACGATTACCAGTACAAATTAGGCTTTAAACATGAATCACTGGTAGGGTCTGACGCTGTTCGGTTTCGTTGTCGCCTTTAAACCTGAACGTACACGACTTTTTCAGAAAGTGTGCTTTTGATTTCAATCCAACTTGAACGTAAAACAGCTGGCGGAGTTTCAGTGGAATTCACTTTCATCGTTGTTCAACATTCATTTTTAATTTTAAACAGTTTGGTTTTACTGTCACGGACATAGTGTTTCGTGCCAGTGGCCTCGAGTTGTTTTGGCTCTCGTGATGAATTTTTTTTTTTTAATATTGCCCCCGCAACGTTTTATCAGTAGTGAGCATGTCTGAACATCTTTCCTCTAATGAAATAAGTTCAATTGTTTCCCTCAACTACACTACAACTCTTCCAACTGACTTTTTTACATTTGGTGTTTGTTCAAAATATTTCTGTGCCGTTTCAACCTCAAAATGAAACCAACTAGCACACTCCTATTAATTAATTGATTTATTTGTTTTTTCATTTATCTCGAATATTTAACCAGGCTGACCCAGTTCAGCTGTAAGCTGATGGGAAGTCAGTCTATTTCATTTATCTCATTTCTTTTTTAATTTTTCTCTTTTCAGTTAAACGTTTTTGCTATTCTGTTTTTGAACAAGGTGTGAAAGTGTGAAATTGTGGAAAAGTATGAAAAAAACACAGACATGTAAACATTTCCTGAAGGAAGCAACTCGATCGAAGGCCTTCAGCGAAAATGGCGACAACCTTCCTTTCCAAATTGTTTAAAGTTTGCGAAGAATGTACTGGTAATGTGCGATCATATAATTTATCTTACATTTTGAATCAACCAAAAAATCATCGAAAACAAGCTATGGTAAAACCTTTGCGATTTATTTTAACTCGACAAATCTGCCGGACAGAAGAAACAAATTGACATAATGATGTTTTACGTAGTATTTAATTGGGACGTGCAGGAACTTTGAAATGCGAAAAACACCTGTTGAACTGGATAAGGCTGTAGAACTCCTGTGAGATTTAACTATTCCCACATTTACCGCACCTAAATATTTTTGTTTATTCAACAGCCATCGCTAATCCGACGCTTGCCTTAATCTTAAGGAGACAAATATGTCGCTTTCTTTTCCTTTTTTTTTTTTTCTTTTTCCTGGAGTTAAATGTCGAGATATGTTGATTTATAACCTAGATATGTTGACTTATAACCTAATGAGTTCCAAGCGAATGCTCATGATCAGGTTATAGAGCCAGCGTGTGACTCTTAAGTCCTAAAAGCAATAGAATGCATTTTTTCTGGGCACTATAACAATAAAGCCACTTGGTATGTTGGGAGAATACACAGAAAGCTTCATGATAAAATAACTCGCCTTCGACTCGTGATTTTTAAACTTTCCTCGTGTTCTTCCATCATCCTGCGTGGCTTTAACGCGCTTTAGAGCCCGGAAAAATCTGTTCTATTACTTAGGTAGATGTGCCAAAATGATTTTTATCTCAGTTTGTGGTACATTTCCAGTCTTTTTTTTTATTTTCATGATAGCAAAGTAATTATTTGAATTGCATTCCAGTCTGCGCCCATCCTGTTGGTTTGATTTGCAAGATAACAAGGAAATCAATTTGCGTTCGAGTCAACTTTTTGAGTATAGGTTTTTTCTTCATTTGTTCCATCTAGCTAGTACTTTACAAGCCGCGACTAACCTCTTGTTTTCCGTCGAATCCCTCTATAAATGCACTGTGTTAAATCTGTGTCTTTCTACTGGACAGGTTTGTTGATTTTTGCTGACATTAATACGAAGATAATTATAGCTTTTTTGGCAAACACCCTTTCTGTGGGATATTTATTTTACTTTGATATTATTTCCTCTTATAATTACACTTTTTGCTTTCATTCGTTAAAGAGCATTGAACATTACCGCGAACGACGCTACGCCAACTTGGTTTTTCCAACTTTCCAGAAAACCTAGTTGTACCAACCTTATAAATAAGCTCATTTTTTTGTTAGAATTATTGCATTTCCATATGTCTTGTACAAGTTACTTCGATCTATTTGTGTAAAGTAACTTTCTAAGTATTTGCCAATATCTGCTATTTCTGGGAACAATAAAATTCCTTCGGACAATGTTGTCGTAGGAGGGAATTAAAAAGTTGGTTTCGCACGCTTGAACGAATAAATTTTTAATATTTCTTGCCTAACTTTTATTTATTCATGAGGTAAACGGAAGCGTTTCGGCAATGTGTGCGTTATAACGAGTCGGGCAAGAAAACAAAAAAATACATTATGAAGTTATCATTCGGCGGATATTGAATTTCGACTCTAATGGAATATATGTACTTTTTATGTCGTACCAAATTTGTTTCACCTAGGTGTCTGTCATTTATAATTCATTGGTTGAATTTCATTACTGTTATCACAAGTTGGGTCTCCAACTCTGTCCGCAATCTCAGGGCTCTCGCGGAAACCGTTTTAAAAACAAATCAATCTGCCAAATTGTAACTGTGAATTTTTTTTTTATCGAAATTCCGAACATGGTTGCTCAATAACACAGCGAAACCCAAAGACAGCCCGCCTTAAATAATCGCCTTGATTTGATTTTGACACAATCAGGTTTCAGTAATTTTCAGTGATAAACGTTGTCAGGACTCAATAGAGAAATTATCTCGACCCTTTGATTAATTTTATCGAGCGAAGATTGCTTTAATTACCCCTGAATCGCCTTAATCCGATGACCCAAGTGGATGTTGATTTGAACTCCAAAAATTTTTACCATGGTTAAATTTAATAAAGACATTTCTACAAGGAATCGCCGAAAAATGCACTGTGGTATTGTAGCCTCTACACGTTGGCTGCTGAGGTTGGCCAACCACCTTGATCTTCTTGTACTATCATTTCAAAGAGTTGCCGAAGGACAAAGAATGACTGCATTTACGCCAAAGTTATTTTCAGCATGAGTGGGTATCACTCAGTCGACAGGACGAGATCACTTATTCCGTTAATGATTATCTGTCGCTACGAAAACGGGAAGCGTATCATATACCACCAGACGTCTCAAATACTTCAACGCGCCAAGCTAGGCGATTTTGGGACGCAAACAGCTAGATTACTTTTGGAATCGGTCATGATAGCGGGTCGCACGTTTCAACTTTAATAAACAACAAAGAAACGTTTAATTAGTGAAGGTTTGAGTGGGTAATTGTACTGGAATTTTCAACAGGGTCGGCGCAACTTTTCCTTCATCAAAACGGATTTGGCGAAATTACCAACAGTCGTTCCTCGAGACAGTTGCAGTTTATTCATCAAATTATACATGACTGTCTTATAGCTGAGTGCATTACCTCCAACCATTCCGTGGTTTCCGGCCCTTGAAAATTTGAATTCGGTCTTAAGTCGGGTTTTGTTTTGACAAGCTTTTTGTTTCTATGTTATTAGATGATTTATTGAGAAAATAGAAGCGATCTTGGACAAAGCATACAGGAACCAATCACAGGGCGTTGTTGTTCAAGCCCCATTCTTCCGGCCGATTGCCTTGTTTCGGTTCAATTTAATCGCGAAATTACTAAGATTACTGGTGTGTGAAGGCGTTCATGCGGTGAGATCTGTTGTTGGCTGTCGATAAGTACCTTCTTGACCTCCAGCGCTACATAAGTATACCAGAAGTGTTTGCCCCAGTTTGTTAAGTCAACGCTACTTGAGAACGTGCTAACAAGTCTGCGGGAACGATAGCGCGAGAACCGCGACTTGAACCAATTCAAGTGAAAACTTCAAGCGACCTCTTAGATTGACAGATACAAGCCATTAAGCAATCACACAAGTCTGCTCATCGCAAGCTTTTCAGCGAGACACTTGTAAGCTAAGCCGAGTTCGACAACTGAACGGGCCTCAAACAAAAAACGACATGATGGTTGCGCGTGTCTGTCTCTTCTCCTTTGTCTCACTTATCGTTCTCGCTGCGATAGACGGTGGTAAAAGAGCTAGGTGAGTGTATTATTGTTTTGACATTTGTTTCAAAGTGTGAAAGTTTCACCGTGAAGCGAGAATTGTCTGGCTGGTGTTTGACTCTTGCGAAGAGAAATTCTCGAGCGCGAGCAACATGCTCCACAACACAACTGCTAGCGCATCAAAGTTTTCGTCAACTGCAATAGGGTGGTCTCCGACCATAAGTCTTAGATCTACTCTGAAATGTCACGACTCAGTCCTTTTATATACTTTGCAGGCCACCTCGCAACAATGATGCCTTGAGTTTTTGTTCTTGGCTCAAGGATAACCAACAAAAGAAGTGCGAAGCGCAACCTCTGCTCGGTCTGTCCGCGCGAGATGGCGTCGAGCTAGCGTTAAAAGAGTGCGGGAATAATTTCAAAGATCGTCGGTGGAACTGCTCAGGTGTTACCATCGCAGACGTTTTTCAAAGACAAAGAATGCTCAAAGCTGGTAAGTTGGGTATAATTTTTCCTTTTATTGTACTCTCCGTTCTGGCGCTCTCTTCGTGCTTCCGCTTCGCAAACTCCCTACAATTGCAGTATTATCATAAATTTCCTGTCCATTCGTTATCTCTTGAGATTTATTCGAAAGCCAAGTGGTGAGATAAGCTGCCTTGTTCGCTGCTGTCTAAGTATCGAAAAGGTGGCAAGTAATTGTATTACAACTGGCCTCTTTGCGGTAAGTATGTACATACGGGGACCAACTGCACAACAGATGTGACTTGACCAAAGGACAACGAAAAACATCTGAGAAAATATTTTGTTTCAGAAATCTATTTCATTCGCACTTCGCAGGACCACTTTAGACCGAGTCTGTCACACAAAATGCTGGTCTGGATCACGTTTAGCAGACTCTGCAAATGTTGCGTGGCTTTTCCTAAGCTAGAGAAGGCCCTGAGGCCTTAAAACGTCTTGCGCTCTTTGACGCAACACTCCACATTTTAATTTACCTGTGGGGTGCTCGTTTGAGCAGATTTAAAGGTTTTGTTGGTTTTTTTTGGAAATCTCAGCGCCCTCCTCGAGCCGTCTGTGTTTCTAAACAGATCTAAACAACTTTCAAAAATAATTGTTTGGTGCTCGATGATTACTGCATGTTTGTTGCTTCTGAAAGTTTTGTTTGACGAAACATTTCTGGCGATTTTTGTTTTGCTTTTGTATCTGTCAACTTCGTCTATGACTCGGTCGATACCTATATGGCAGATGCGAAACAAATTTACCAAGCTTGAGAAATGTCTCGGGAATTTGGATCGAAGCAAACAGAGACCTGATCCAAAAGTCAAACACGTTTTAGGAATTTAAGTCCCTCCTTTGCTTCATGCAATGATGTACAAAAACCTCTAATATCGCATTCCTCACGAGGAAATACTGATTTGAACGAGTGCCGTGTGTAATCGCGATTCACCCTGTAAGATGGTTGCACACCAAGCCACCATCGACGTGAACGTTAAAAGCTGTGAGGGAGAAAGAGATCATTCATGGATTTGTGGCGTTTGCTAGCTATACAAACACAATCAAAACGTGCTCGCTGTTTTCTTTGAAAACTACGCCTGACTTTTCCTGCAGTCAACCCCGATAAACGTCTGCGCGAAGACCCGCTATGCGAAAAACGGCTGTTAAAGTTTTTAGTCGCGCGAAGGCTGCAGCACGTTCAATTTTTATCTTTTTCTTTTATCCACGTTATCTGGGGTTGCGCAGACGTTGAAATATGTCTTCTTATGTGTACACAGCCCAGATAAGTTAATGCTCCTCGAGGAAAGCTTTGACATAAAGTGTCATTTTGTTTACGACGTGTGTCATGTAGCAAATCTATAGCGGACCCGTATCAACTTTTCTATTACAATAGTCACTTGTCAATGGGGTAATCGAATAACTGGCGTAACTTGACCGGTGTTTCTTTTCTCTGGTGGCTTTTAACAATTATGTAAGGGACACTGGTAGACATTTTGAAAACAAATATTATAACTTCGGGTTGACAATGCCATGTTAGTTTTTTTTTTCGTCTGCCTCTGCGAAATGGCGTTCTTTGGGAAGACTACGTTCGGCTAGAAACTCAATTTCCGCTTCTTTTTTGAACACACAGTGTGAAAAATGCCCCGATCGTGGTGCGCTTCACACAAGCGTGGGCCAGCTTATCTCAGGAAGAAGCGAATAAGGAACAGAAATTAGCTTCAACTGCGTCAGTGTTTCATGCATCCTGTGAATCAACCGCAACAAAAAAAGTAATTGACGTCACATACTTTCGTCTGGCTTCCTTTGACTCTGTAAACATAGAAACACGGAATACTTTCTCTATTGCTGAAAGAAGTCAGGAGTCAAAATGTCTGTTGTAGGAAACTGTGGAATGAATTCGTTGTTATAACAAAGTAGCTTTGGCTAAATAACGTTTTCTAGCTCTGAAATAGAGGACATTAATGGGGCTCAACACTTGAGCAAGTTTTCCTCGTTTTGAGTTAATTTACTAAAGAAAATTACTCTTAAAACTATCGAACCATGAGTAATCCCGAAAGATATTTATTACACCAAAGTATCATTAATCTATTGCGGAATAATTGCGGTCTCTTCTCGCCATTATAGCGTTGTATACCCTTAAGGCATTAATTGCTTTTCAAAACCTTTGTTGTTGTGTGAAATTGTCGTTTGCCAAAATTGCTCAACTTGAAACACGAAACAAAACTTCGGGCGGTAATTGCATAGAATCCAAGTAATTGAGGGTTGTGCAAACGATCACAACTTCAAACAAACTTTGGCAATTTTCTTTTAATTAGCTTTTAAACAATGGCTTTGTCATGGAAGGTTAGCCTTGTGCTGTTTCAAAAGAATAGTATTTGAATACCTTTGGTTTCCTGGGATAAAAGCTTGACATAGAAGCTCTGCTAAGAACTAAACGGAACCAAACGAGTCAGTTTTTTCTGTGCCTTTTGTAAACAAAACCAATCTGAAAACTGTCCAAGGTGTTGTTGTCGCTGTTTGTTCACAAAATCCCCAAATGTTTATTCTGTTAAAATTCTTGTTGGCTATTTCTCTTGCTCAACTTCGTTTAAATCTCGAAACTTCTTTCTTTTTTACGCTTTCTTTATTGAAAATATCCAAACAGTTCTTTCATCGATACAAATTTTTTCTCTTGAAACAATAGCTGTGCTATAGCAAACAAACGGATTACAAGAATACAAGAAGTTGTTAACGCTTTTTCTTCGATGTACCATCTCCTGGCCACCCATGTCTCAGCAACCCTAAGAAGATATTCCTGGTATTCATTAAAATAAAGTATCATCTCGAACTGGTATTTGAATAGTTCAAGCTTAGATAATGTTTCACGACAAAACTGACTCTCCTCCCCTTTGCGTGCAAACCTATGCTTTGTTTGAAATATTTCTTGCCGTGACTTCTTGCTACTTTAACTACATGGCATGTGAAAGCAAACAGAAAATACTTTTCTTTCAATGACTTCGATCAGCATTCCAAGGACTCGAGGAAGACACCATAGCAGATAATGACATCATTGGAACTCATAATAAAACTTTTCAATCACTTTTCGACTAATCAGTCTTTCCTCTATCCATAATCAGGATTTTTAGGTGATACGCCAATCTTCTTTTTTCGTCTTTGTCAAAAGACGGTCGAGAATAGTCTGAGCCGCTTCGCGGTTATTTCGCTTCTGCAATATCATCTTTGTATTTCAGAGGAAAAAACTTTGATCGCTAATCTGGATCAAATGTGACAGTCTGGTGAACTCGGCTTAAAGCAGACAGTTTTTAATTAATTTCTCTATCTGCAAAAAGTTTGAACTTATTTTCTCGAAATTTACTCAAACTTACAAATTTTAGCCTCAATCGTGTCCTTAAGGCAAGGTTTTACAATCCTCAATTATTCTTCTTACAATACGTGGGCCCCTGATTTTTCCAAAAAAGAATTTATTATTATTTATGTCTCATACGGCTGCTTTTGTATTACTCTTCATCAAAAAACATTGAAGAGAACTTGTACGTGACTGTAAGGTGATCGATCATGAATTTGATACTGCCCTTCTAAGATCTGTCACAAGTATTATTCTAAAGTTTCATTGCCATGCGAATGAAGGATGAGCAGTATCGCGGAACGTCTAGACATCTGATTTCAGCACCGAACACGACGATTTTTGCATTCAGTTAGAACGCTACGATTTTTTTTTTTCAGTTAGACACTAATTTATTGCCTGTAAAGTGATCTCGCAGCTGCTAGGACAAGTAGAAGAAAAACTTTAATGCTAAGTCTTTCCTTCATTAAAAAGTTTTTGGGAAGTTTGAACTTTTTGAACTCTCTGAAGGTTGACTATCCGTTGGTCCAGTCGATGTCACGTGCATGGTTCTATACACGGTTCATAGTGAACCGACCCCACACAACCAAATCTACAATGTCTACGTCGTGTATGAAATCAAGTTGCATCAGTGGTCAAATGTTGGCCTAAGATAACGCTTAAATCATTTTTAAACGACTTTATAAATGCCTTAGATTAGTAAATTACAAACGTGACCTCAACTCTATTACAACTTCTAAGTGTGAACGTAAACAGTGGTTTCTCCAAAGTCATCGTAAATTCAGTTTGATTCGTACCAATGAGTCCAAAGACCGCGTCGACGACTATAGATCATGACGTCAGTGTTAAAATTGCAGTTTTTTTCTATAGTGAAGTTATGGGACATCTTCAAAAGAACTTAAGGTGGTGTAAAACTTTTGTATGTAAAGATGGGTACACAGAGGCGCCGTAAAGTCTTTTCGTTTCCTATCTCCAGCAGTATCTTTATCGATTAGCATGTGTTATGGAGAAAGATGCGTAGGCAAATAATGACATATCGATATCAGTTCTTTCTTCAGCTCCAAAAAGCTGTTAAGTCTTAATGGTACATGATTATTCCGCCAGTTTGAGGTATTTAAGTTTTGTTTTTGTCAAGCAATTCACAGAGATCTTTCCGCAAACCCGCTGACCCTTTCAATTCGGCGTTAGTTCTATTTATCAACTTTTTGCACTCTCTGCTAGGCATCTCTTTCACTTTAGCTCTAAGAATTTGGATTTAACGCAAGTGATATCTCCAAATCGATATTTCTGTTTCTTCCTATCACCTCTCTGCTCGACAAGTGTACCGTCCGGTGTCTTTTCGGTCACTCTTCAGTCTGGAACATCGGACGCTCAACGACACCGCCTCTTTCGTCGCTTACATTTAAAGGACATAGGCAATACATTTATGATTTGAAGCTTTTATTACTGCTTATTTTTAATAGCAATTTTTCAATTGATTTCCAAAGGGAAGGCTTGATTTTACTGGTCTTGGTTTACCTCGCACTGCAATCGGCTTGGGGAAAATCAGTCACGCTTTCATGAAAAAAAAAAAAAAACATGGAAAAACTGAAAGAGATGGTGACCGAAACCATTTGTAACTTCGTTTGTTTCGTTCTGAGTTCTTATTGGTTCCTAGTGATATATACCTTAGTTCCAACTGACCACTGTAATAATAGTGTATCTGTATCTAAGTGTCCTCTAAAACAGATATCTTTTTTTTTTCCTTCCGTCTCTTTAGACGTCAGAGAAAGTTCTTACTTGCACGCTATAGCAGCTGCTGGGGTGACCTTCCAGATAACCAAGGGCTGCAGCCAGGGAAACTGGGATGACTGTGGCTGCGATCCTAAGCCCTCAGGGAGAGGAAGAAAAGAAGGCGAGCCCAGCTGGGAGTGGGGTGGATGCTCGGAGAACTATCGATACGGCTACGAATACTCTACCAAGTTTATGGACCCGAGCAAGAGCGCTGAAAAAACATTATCAAACTATCTCATAAGACATAACAATGAAGCTGGAAGAAGGGTACGTTGAATTTGGTTTTAATCGTTTGATATGAATCGCCATATTATTCTAGATGTTATTCTTATGAAAGTTTTATCATATCTGATGATCTTTTGGCGTTTTTGATGAGGATAGTAACTATTATAAATCAGCAGATGGTTTTTGCGGTTGTTTTGGCCTATAGAGTGCCGTGAAAATTAGTTATCAGAGAGCATGAGGTGCAGATTGACTCATAACTCCCTAAAATCAGTATGCATGTTCTCCAGAGTGTTCCCCACATATTTCGTGATGTGCTGACCACGAGAATTTGTTTAATTATCAAGAGCTTCTTAAGTTGCTGATCATTTCCTCAGTTCTCGCGACCTTTATGTTTGATTCAGAGGTGGTATTGTAAGGAGAAGTTAGATGCTGGTCATTGTTAGGGGTTCAAAGGGTTAAAAAAAAAAAGTCAGTTCTTATCGTTTGTGTCATTCGGAGTGGCTTCAACAGGAGAGAGATGACTTTACTGTATTGTCATAATACTTCACCTAGATGAAGAACATCACCCACAACCTTTTATTTTTTTTTACGGCCTTACGGTGTAAGTGTGGCTGCACAGACCACCTGCTAGAGGTAGATCTTTTTGGAGAAGATGACGAATATAATATGAAGTGGCTGTAGTTACAATGAAGTTAGGAATTTGTGCAGTAGCTTAGAGCTTGTTACTTCTGTTTAAAGATATGCGTTTCTCTCTGGCCAAAACAGCAATTTGTTGGTAGCCAACTTGAAATTTAATCTAAAACTGTAACAACCAAGGCCGTTGTTAGTTAAGTGCTCATTTCTATCTCAAAAAAAAAAAAAAAAAAAAAAAAAACGTTTTAGAATTCGATAAGTAGTTTTTTGGGGACGCGAGTAGTGAGCATTGAAGGCGACCTATAACACCAAGCCAAAAGTTTGGCAGCGTAACTCAATAGCAGAAGATCAAGTTACGGAAAATGAGAGATATACCATGGTATTGGAAACTCCAAGGCTATTTAAAGCTTTGTGTGTGTATGCGAACCGGAATTATCCCACAACTTCGGATCTAACGGCATTTGAAGGGTTTCTTTATGAAGTGTGAAGCGCCTTTGCATATGTTACGCGGGGACAAACTTTGGGCGTCGCCGACTCCAGGCCTACGAACAGGGCGTGTGTATGTTCCGTAGCTGTGGTTTCCTGTTTTATATAACCCTAATTTTCTGCTCTTTTCTTACCCATCAAACCACTGCTCAAACGTCAGGTCCGTTACTAACTCGTGAAGTATTCCGCTTTCGAAATGTTTCCGTTTTGTGGAAAAATGGCAAAGATGTCTTTGAGCTTTCCGAAGGTGTTTTCACTAATAGTCTTGCGGTTTGTCGCTTTTAAATCGCGGACGCCAGTGTCGAGCACGTTTTAATTCGATTTTTGTCTTGTTCTTCTGTGTCGTTTCTCGATCCTTGACGATACAATTTGAGATATCATTGGGGTGACCATCTCACATTTCAATTAAGATTAGATGAAGGTATAAATATTCCAACGTCGTTGATATCGTGTCCAACATTTATAGGAACGTGCTCGTCAAATCCGTTTGTCTTGACTACTTTGTCATCTTGCAGTTTGCTTTCCGAGCTGCCTCTTGAACGTAAACAATTAAAAGATTTACCTTTGGAATACCATCAATGCCGTGGTTTCCCGACAAACAAATTATATTGAAACCTCGTCAAACAAGCGCCGCTTTTCTAAACAGGTTGTTTGATGAGCCGACTATATCTGATCTAATCGCTTGCAATCGGTGGCTATGTTTTTCTTTATATCAATTATTTTATTGCGATATCATGGGCGGTTCTTTAGCAAACGTTTAGTTACATGACACACTTTGGCCTGAAATGCTTTTCAATGTCCTCATTTGCATACTTTTTATCCGAGGCAATCCTTGTTATGTTTTAGTTCATTTCTGCTTTTATTCTTGTATTTATCTGTCAAGTCTCTTAGCTCCAAGTTAAAGCTTTTTACGCTTGTCACAAACTAGCTATTAAAATATTCAGACTCTACCACTGGAGTCGGCTTAAAGTACTCTGCAGTCGGGAAAAAACCCTGGAAGTCGGCTACGAACCTCTTGAAGTTGACTTAAAACCCCTTGCAGTCATAATAAGAGATGCGGTTCCCTTTATTAAGTAACAAATTTAGAAAGCATAAAAACACAGCATGATAATAGAAGACCAGTTGTTAAAAACTTTTATTTTCAAGGGTCACAATCAACAAATATCAGGAAACCGCGAGATAATCATGCTATGATTGACGGAGAAAGATTTTTTTTTTTGAAATGACGATGAGATAGACAAACATAGAAAATAAAAAGGAACTCACGTTTTCAAAAGCCTTAAATTCCTGGCACACAGATGTTTTCTGTCTTTTGTATGTTTAGGATAAGATTTATGAATTGTTTTTAAGCTTGTGAACGAGGAACTTAGTTTTGGGAATTGATCTTCACTAGCTGAATTGTCAAAGTTATCAATATAACCTGTTTATAACTACGGTCGAGAAGATGATTGCAGCTACATTCTCTTCACGATTATCTAAAAGAACAGAGTCATTACAAGCGAATGCCACAAATCTGTAAACAACACTAGGAACTCAAATCAACCTTGAAGAGTCCTTTACAGATTTTAAAAAGAACCTACAATTTCCGTAAAAACATCTTGCCTTTCCTCAGCAAACTGCAGAAGAGAAGAAAAAAAAAACCTGAGTAGACATGGCCGTATGGTTACTAGGAACACCTCTCCCATTTTTAATTAGTGACTTGAACAATCATTTGAATTCTTTACTGTGCGGCGGTTTATTTTCAAAGCTTCCAACTATATTAACGAGCGTTTGATAATTTTGTGATGCTTAAGACTTGGCGTGGGCCTAGAGTTGCAAATTTTGCGGCTTCCGACGTATATCGAAACAGATTCCAACACGAGGAAGGAGGTTGACCTTTCTTCCTGCCGTGACTCTCGCGCGCGCAAAGCGACACCCACGGAAGTTTCGTGGACGTCGCCCGTTCACCCTTTAAACCACTTCTAGAAATTCGCTTTTATGCAGATTAAACGTCATTATCGGTTTCTCACACGGCCTTCCTGTGAAGATGTTTATTCTTCAAAATCTTGCTATTTCCTTCTCCGTAAACCGCTGTGGCGATCATATTGATATCACTCCAGTAATTATCAACCGTCAGTGTGATCGAGTTTAGATAATCTTCTTACTTTTTAAAAAGCATTCTTTGGCTTATTCGGTTCTGAGATCATTCGAGATTTTATTATGTTATTAGGAGAACAAAATTAACCATAAGAAATCTTTTCAATATGAGAAGAGTGACTTTTTTATTACTTTTACCAAGATACGAATTTCAAGTATGCTGCCGAATTCTTTTAGCTCGAAAATGAAATTTTCTGTCTTCATTTTCTGACGTGGTTTACTTCTATAATGTAAGCCACATTGAAGGAACGCTACTTTCATACCTGTAGTATTGAGGTAACGACAAAAGAGGAAGGATACAGAGAATTTTGTTTTTATTTGTTTTGCCCTTGTATAGTTAATTTTGTTTTCAATTTTGTGACATTTATTAATGGTATATGCGCTTGTTAGGTAAAATGTTTGTTGAATTTATTTTTTAGAGTGTCACAATCGTTTCGGTGCGGTAAATCGGATGTTACTTATATTTTAAAAAATGACAAACTTTTCTTATCTTGGAGGCATTTTTAGATGCAAACAGTATTAAATCTGTGCATCTTTCAGTGGGACAAATATTAGGAATGCATGTCGTTTTGGTAAATGATTAAAGATAGGTTTTCGTTATAATTTATTTTCAACCGAAAGCATAGCAATCGAAATGATGTATTTTTCGTAAGAAGATCCAGAATCACTCAATGTAGTTTTAATTCACCACAAACCCACTTTCGCTCTGTTCTAAACTTTTGCTAAGAGTTATCTAAGCTTAAAATCACGCCACGGCTCACCGCAATATGCAAAACAACGTCTTTATCAGCCATCATTTCGAAATTTTAATTATAAATCATATAATCGATTATATTTCACTTAGAAATCACGCCCTCTCGTGTTTTGAAAAGGATATGCCTGCAGCGTGTTCGTTATCAAAATGTTTACTTTTCAACAAACCTCAGCAGGAGAGGATTAATTTTAATAGTGGGTGTTTTTCATAAACTATGAGATCTTGCATGTTCCCAAACAAGAGGTGTGCAAGGGGTTCATTTTATTAAAGGAAGATTCAAAGTTTAGAAAAGGTTAAAAACTGGGCAGATTCCAGCTTCTAAAATAAAAATTTCAAAATACATAGGATGAATACAAAGGTCTCCGTTAACTCAGAGCCTTATGTAAATATTCCTCCTCGTCGCCACAGTTTCTAAACCCTCGGGCTGTTGTCCAAGTTTTTGCAAAGAGAGTAGTGAGACTCCAAATTTAATTAAAATCTACCTAGCGCTTGAAATAATATTGTTTATCATATTTTTACCGCATGGGGCGAGCAATCAGGTATTGGCCTTAAGAGATATTTAAACCTTTTTTGCGATCTTTAGTTCTCCTTATGAAGCACGTTGCTGTTTAGAACCATCAGTTAATTTTAGGAATCCATGTGTAGATGTTTTCACTTGACCATTTGTTGAGAAAACCAGACATTTTATTGTAATCTGTTGGTTGAAATCATGGCCTAAATATGTTTGATTTAGGCATGTTTTTGTATTGTTTTCCCTCTGTTTTTATCTTTCTCAATATTAGACATCATCAATCAATGTTAGCCCTGGGCTAAGAACGACTGAAGAATATTCCGAGCTCATTTGTTGTATGTGAATTCAAACCCGCGATCTTTAGAACAAATATTTTTTGTCGCCTGCAGGGCATAAGTTTCAGAACGATTTTGGACTTTCTTTCAACAAAATGACGCATACACCCTTGTGAACAATATCTGGAGAAAACAGAACTGAGACCAACTTGTGAAAAAAAAGTTAAACAACAACACTATTTTGTGCTCCTTCTTGATTAAATTGTGCATGCGCCTCAACATCGACCAAAAATTCCAATTTAAACCCTACCCCCAAGAAAATAAAAGTCGTAGTTTTTTCCCGAAAGATTGACTTTGTCAATCCATGCAAATTTGATCATTGAAATTTAATGTGGGGCTGAATTTGCAATGTAGTTTTAAAAAGAAAATTTAAAAAAAAAGGCAAAGAAATAACTGCATGACGAAGAATCTTGATTTGCTAGTTGAGTTGGATGATGAAATATGGCGCCGCCTAACTCGATCCCAGTTAGAGGGACATTAACCATTTAACTCTTATCAGTGACCAAGACAGAATCTCTTCTTACAATATCAATACAGCATCAAGCAGACAAGTGATGAGAATAAACCGCTTCTAATTGACATGTTTCTTTATAACTTAACTTATTAGTAACTTATATTGCACCTACAGACTTAGAGCGCCGGATTGTGATGTGCCCGAAAGGCATCCAATGATGCTCTTTCGCCGCTCTCTCCGTTCCAATGTTATTGCTTAGCAGTGTTCTATGCCATCCAATGATGCTCTTTCGCCGCTCTCTCCGTTCCATTGTTATTGCTTAGCAGTGTTCTATGCCATCCTATGATGCTCTTTCACCTCTCTCCGTTCCAATGGTATCGCTTGGCAGTGTTCTATGCCATCATGCCGACCAACATTGAGAGGGTCATGGGAGTGCAGATTAAATATTGATGTTTAATGACGGCTTTCATGTTTACCTACACTTCTCTATCTTTTGTTTGAAAACTTTGTTTCTTCTTTTGCTTCAGGTTATCAAAGATAACATGGACAAATCTTGTAAGTGCCATGGTGTGTCTGGCTCGTGTACTGTCAAGGTCTGTTGGCGAACCATGCCTAAGATGGAAAAAGTTGCTTCTTTACTACGAAAAAAGTTTGATAATGCCGTGAAGGTGAAACTTAACAAAAACAAAACCAAGCTCACGAGGACATATCGGGGACGAAGAGGCCGAAAGAGGAATACGAACAGCAAACGACCCCCGTCTTCAAGTCTTGTGTACGCCGGTAGCTCGCCGGACTTCTGCCGTGCTGACAAGAAATACGGAGTTCTGGGCACGGTAGGAAGAACGTGCAATAAGTCGTCGATTGGCACGGACGGTTGTCGCATGTTGTGCTGCGGACGAGGCTATAACACTGTCAACAGAGTGAAAGACGTCAAATGTAACTGTGCATTTATCTGGTGTTGTCAAGTATCATGTGATATTTGCAAAGAGGAGTGGATTGAACACACATGCAAGTGAGGCTGAGTGACGTCTCTGGAAATCAAATCTGGATTAAATTCTCATGTGTTGTATTCATTCTCCACGCGTACTTTAGAGTAAACGTAACAATCAGACAGCTGAATCTTCATTTTCAAGGAACGTATTTTGGAAAGACGGCGTTGAGAAGGCGATTTTATTACCCTTGTTCGAGACCCAAAGGATTCACTTCTGTCGACACGTTTTGACTTTGTCTCAACGCCTTTGACGGAACCACGGTAATGATTGCAAACCATTGCGATGATTGCAAACCACGTAATGAGGATAACTTTTCACATGGAGGTGAAGAATGGAACGCTAATTTTACCAGGTTTACACCAGCATGTTTTTCTCGACTGAAGTACATAGCAAGGAAAATGGTTTCAAGCTTTATACCGGACCCAAAAATTAAACTTCTCACGATTACTTTCCATGAAACTACTTCTCGTTTTCTTCCATGCACTTTGCCAGAAAAAAAATGTCCAAAAAAATTTGATAGTGTAATTTCGGCCTTCTCGTCGCCCATTTTTAGGAACAGAATTCCAACAACCGCCTCGTTTCTTAGAGTTGTGTTGTTTGCACTGTGTACATATTTATGAGAACTTGTAGAGAAATGTGAAGATCTGAATTGCGCACACACTCTCACAAATTCATCTCTATCTCTGATTTTTTTTTTCTGCTCAAAATTAATTCAGTAAATCACATTCTGAGGAATAAGATTCGTGTAATCCACATCAATAGTCAACGCAGACATCCGTCATTCTCTCGCGCTAGAAGCTTCTTAAAGTTAGCACGATGTCACAATTACAGTCGCGTTACTGTGGCATCCAAGATCCTTGAAGGTATTACCCAGAGTAGAGCTGATTTAAAGTCGTCTTTCACTAAAAAATGTAAGATTCTTTACATAAGGACAATTGCAAGAACTTATTCCCGTAAATGCGAGAATTCGAACTGGACTAATATGAACGCCTTGAAAATATATTTCTTCCTGTATGAATTTTTTTTCTTCTCAATCTAATGTCACGAGGGTTATCTTATCCTACACAATGCAAAGATATGTTTATTATATATTTCTGTGTATACAAGCCTTTATTTATGAAAATGTTACCTTAGGTAGAAATCCAGTGTTTGAACACATTGCACTTTAGATCAGGATAAAAATCTCTAAAGAAATGAAATAAATC